CACAGCACGGCGGACACAGCACAGAGCTCCTAAAACCCTTGGAATCTCCTGATGAGAGGGACCACGGTGTCGCCTGTTATGTTAATGAGGTGACTTCTGGAAAGCCCTCAGGTCACCTAATGATGGGGACTGGTTGCCAGGGGAACCACCCCTGACCTCGGGGGAGGGGTGCAGGGGCTGGACCCCACTGCCAAGGATCGAATCAATCCTGCCTAAGCAATGAGCCTCCATAAAAACCCCAGAAGTACAGGTTCAGGGAGATCCAGGTGGGTGACAACATCCTCCCTGGGGTGCGATGCCCCCCATGTCCATGGGGACAGAAGCTCCTGTGCTGAGGACGCCCCCAAGCCTTGCCCTGGATATAGCTCTTCCTCTGGCTGCTCGCCTGTATTAATCAAGCAGAGGAAGGGGCCGTGGGAACCTCTGATTTGCAGCCGGGTCAGGCAAAGTTATGGGTGACCTGGGGACCCGCTACCTGCGACTGGCATCTGAAGTGAGGGGCAGTCTCGTGGGACTGAGCCCTTAACCACCTCCAGGTAGACAGTGTCAGAACTGGGTTAACTGTGGGACCCCCGCTGGTGTCGTGCTGACCAGCTTCCTGGGGGACCCCCCCCCGCCCCGTCTGGGGACAGAAGCATCAGAAGAGTGTGATGTGAAAGCCAAGGAGACGCACAGGAGGAAGACCTGGGTTACCTCCTCACGCGAGGTCTTTCCCAAGTTATATCAACAGCCACTGTTTTTAAAAGAGAACAGCATCCATGCTTTGTGAAGTAAACCTCAACTGCTCACCTAAAACCTGGTAAATGGAATATTTATAAATGGAATATTTCCTGCCATATCAATAAACAAAGGATGTCACAGTCACCAAAGATTGCAGCCCTCCCTGCAACTTGAGCCGAGAAAACTCAGGGCTGAAAAGAAAGCTGCCATCTAGCAGCCATCAGACTGCAGCCACTCCCCGCGGAGAGCCCTGGCGAGCCCTGAGGCAACTCAGCACGTGAAAATCCTGGCCCCATGTAGCTGAGGTGCATGTCAAAGGAATGACTTCACTGAGGCCAGACTCTTGCATCTTCCCATACATAGAAAAGCGCTGAATTGCTTAACTTGAGATGCCTGGATTTCTTTATTTAATGATAATCCTTTGATGTTCCGACTAGCTGCCCTTTGCTGCCAAACTCCTACACACCCTGGCCCTCACCCTCCCAGCCCCTCGCCTGCTCAGAGCAGTTCTCAGAGTTATCTGAAGTGCCATGTCCCGGGCCGCAGTCCTCATTTTGCCTCAAATAAAACTTAACTCACAGCTCTCACGTTGTGCATATTTTTTTAAGTCAACAAAACTAAGTTTTTAAAAATATCAAATATCTTCAAATTTCTCAAAATACATAAAGCTGACACTAATGGTTGTATGAGATTTTACAGAGGACCGAGCTTCTCTGCAGGCGAGGCCCCGCGGGTATGAAAACCCCACCAGGAGCTGGAGGTACAGCCTCAGCAAAGGATACAAAGCAATAGTGAAAGAGAGACCTTTGTGCACGTGTTCACTTAGTCATAACAACGTCTGAAAACTGGAGTTAGCCTGTGGTTCTCACCTGGCCATCCACACAGCCGGTGACCAGCTGCAGCCTTCGCTGGTCCACAAGGAGACTTGGGAGGGGAGAGGCTATTGGAGGGGGCACACGGGTTCTTAGCTTTAAAGGCACCTGACAGAGTTTAAACTGGGAGCCAGCACTTTTACTGATGGTATTTCTTTTAGTCACATGTGAACTATTCCAAAGTAAGTTCTTCACCAGGAAGTAGAAACTGTAAGTGAACACAAATTTTGGAAAGTGCATGAGTGTGGGAAGACAGTGGCTGGGACGGCCCGGGGGAAGCCTGGGGGTCATCCCAGCCCCTCCATGAGTCACTAACTCCCAGAGTGAGAATAGCACCAAAAAACATTAAACACTCAGCAACAACGATTCTTAAGTAAGAAACAATAAGACTACGGAATTAGTGGTGAAAACAGCAATTAAATGAACGTCTCTTTTTTAAATCGTTGCCTAGGATGTCATTTCATTTAAAACTTACTGTGAATCCAGAGTGTCAAGGATTTAGAAGGAGAGTTAGGATACATGAATATTGAAAACACAGCACGTCCTAAATAAACTTTATAGATGACATCAAAATCAAGTTTATAATTGTTTTCTTAACAGTCAGATAAAGTCCCCATAGTTAATTTCAGGAAAATAATTTCAACATAATTCCAAGAAGTATGCTCTATCCCTGAGACTGATAAATGGATTCAGACCCCCTTGACTGTCACAGCTCTGGCTTACAGGTTAACATGTAGGTATTAGGTTACACATAGCCCACGGACAGAAAACAGGTAAAAGTTTTAAGTTACCTGTTAACACTGATGAGTTGTATATTAATGATCCCATACGATGGTCCCAAAGCTCTGGACACACACGTCTCTTTAGAAGAGGCAACACTTTGCCATTATTGCTGCAGTTTGAACGAATGCTTCTACCAAATTACAAACTAGTTCATGTGAATGGTTTTATCTAAAGGACAAAATTATAAGCATATAAATAATAAAACTACAGAAATACAATGAAAGATATCGGCATCATACATACAGGAAATAAACATTTCCAGAAATAACAGCCTATAGGTTTGGGAGACCCAGACAAGAGAGGCTGGAGACATTTCCAGTGCTTCATCAGCACTGCCGAGGAGAGGGGACGAGATCACTGTCACCTGTATCCTGACGAGAAAGGACCAGTTACTAAGCGACAGGCGCACCCTCCTGTTTTCCAAACATCAGCTCTAATTCTCACACCCCTTGAGGAGACGGAGGCCATCATTTCCATCTTCCAGATAGGAGAGGTCAGGCGAGCACGGTTAATCTGTCAGCAGCAGTTGGTAAGTGGCGAGCTGGGGTTCTGGCCCCAGCAGCCTGCTCCAGAGCTTTTTCAAGTGCGAAATTTCAAGGTGACAACAGAAGCATTTTTACAATCTCTCTCCTCTCTCTCTCTCTCTGCAGATGCCTGTTAATTACCCCCAACTTTTCTTCAGCCACAACTTAGGACATCCTCACTTTGTCAGTTAGAAAATACTCACAGTGCACTGACTCGGAGGTGGATGGGAACTGAGCTTGCATTTTGAGTTATTTCCTACTTAAGCCCAATTTAGTTCTGAATGAATCTTCTGATATTGGAAAGTGGCCCTGCTGCTGGGCCCCTAGGATATACCGTGGAGGTAAATTAAGGTGCTAGGTCTCCAGGGCCCTGGATTCCAGGAAAAGGAGGGTCCCGTCACTGACTCAGCCCACCTGGAATGCCAGGTCACCAGAGGGTGCCACGAGCCCCGGCTCCCCACACCTGCCCAGTAAGCAGCCAAAACATCAGGCTGAGTTCAGGACAGTCACCCCTCGGACGTTACACGTGTGGCAGTGACCATGAACCAAAAGCACAACACAAATCGTTCACACACTACCACAGTCTAATGCCCGTCCCGTACCTCGAAGCTTCTGTCCTTGGACACCGCGATGATGACACGTGCCTGCCAAGTGCAAAACTCGGCCGCGGTCACTGGGCCCTGGTGACCCTGCAGCTTGGTTAGGGTAGACCGGCTCTGGGGGAATTGGTGAGGGAAGACCAGGCACTGAGTGTTCTGGTAATTATTATTTTTATTAAGGAGTTCTATGAATCTCATAGAAAATAGTTTCTGTTAAAATAAATTCTACTTTACATAATGCCCGGGTCCGAATTTGGAACTTCCTGTGTATAACGCCGGAAGCTAAAGTGCAGGGGCGGAGCCGAGAGGGAAGCGCCGCAGTCCTGGCCCCGGGAGCAGCGACTGAAGAAATGAGACTGACCAAGGCCGACACCCCCGTCACGCCCTGAAGCAGCATCTGGGGCGCCCCACCTCCCCACTGCCCACACCCCGCACCCGCCGCCAGGCCGGCCCTGCAGAGGCGCCCGCACTCCATGTCAGCTTATCATTTTCTCTTTCGGGAGCATCTGTCTTCCTTCAAACACTGGCCGTGCTAAGTGTCCTCCTGTTCATCCTGGTTCACCTTCCCCTGACATGAAGATGGTGTTTGTTAGGTTTGGGGGGTGACCTAGTGCTAATCCAGTTAACCATCAAAAGGTGTCTCTGCACAAAACGTTCTAAATATTTACAGCTCAAATGCCAACGTGTCGCTGAACAAAGCTCACAGCCCTGCCCTGATCCTAGGTCACCTCCACCATCTGACCTTTTGTTACGTGCGACCCTCAACTTCACAATCTGGCCCAAAATTGTTTGAAGACAGAAACGTACACTCTGCACCGCCCAAACTGCCTGGCACACCTGAGGCCCCATGGCTTAACCACCAGTGAAGGTTTGGTGCACTAACGTCCCTCCTAAGCTAGGTTTTTACAGTGGAAATGGCAAGAAAACTCCTTGCAGGCAAATAGCTTTGTTGACTGCATTCATCTGGCTAATGGAAGACAAGACACGACACCAGGCCCTGGAAAATCTCTCTCCAAGCTGCGTCTCGGGCAGAAGGTGAGTTCTGAGGAAGAAGCCGCCTGCTCTCCAGGCCTGGCGTCAGGTCAGCGGGTAGAGCAACCAAAGCACAGAACCCACAAGAGGTGGCACACCTACTGAAACTCATCCCAACTAAGAATTAAGGCAGAAGAGGCCAATTCTTGATGAAAAGCAAATTTTGCTAGAAGAGATAAAAGCACTACGCTTTCCAGGCCTTGAAGAGGCCGCTCAAGTAGGAGCCGATCAGAGAAACAGTTTACCACACGTGTGCTCAGTGAGTCCTGGTGTCCAGACTTCCTGGAAAGGTTTCCTAATTTACATAGAACAGCAATATCTGGGTCCAGTGCTTTCCAATCACAAGATAAAGAAATTTTTTCATTCATTGCCCCTCACATCTTTACAAAAACAGGCCCAGTTACAAACCCTGCTGAGAAGAGGCAGGTGGGACCCAGCACCGGGAGCCATGGGCATCGTGCCGGGGAACTTCACGCAGTGTCGGGTCTTAGCTCAACGTCCAGTGTGAATACTTTGTTTCCAGCACACACCGCAGCAACATGATCGGCGGGACTAGGCCTTAAACACAGCACCTTTCCCAGGAGGGTGCCGAGGATGGTCCCTTGCGGAAGTCGCCCTGGAGGGAGTTGGGTCATTAGCGTAACGTCCAAGATGACCTCATGGGAGACGCTGAGAGCATAACCCTCTATTCCAGGATCATGTGCAGAATGACATGAGCTTTGGTTTGGTTTTGGCTCTTTGAGAGTATTAAAAACATTGAAAAGTTCTTCTGGAAACACGTGGAACACGGGGAGTGTCTGCAGGGAAGACACTGCATCACGAGGATGACGGCAGGTCTTGCGGAAGGCCACGCGCACAGACTCCAGGTGAGTCATGCATCCCGTCCTCCCTCCTCCCTGCATCCGCCCCGGCTCCACGCCCGGCCAGTGACCTGCTGTGGCCCGTGGCAAGCAGGCAGAAGGGACACTGTGCCCATCTGAGCAGAAAGGTACTCAAGGAGACAAGACCATTCAGTCAAAAAACAAGAGAAATAAGAAATGATGGAAAACACCCAAAAGTCATTTAGACCTTGAAACCAAACCAGAACTGATCCAGGTGTCAAAACTACTAGATAAGGACATTTAAACAGTCATTATAACTTCATTTCATATGTTCAAAAGGTTAAACAGAGGCTTAGAATATATTTTTAAAAGACCCAATTCTAACTTCAAGAGATGAAAACTAAAATGAAAGATGAAAAACACACTGAGTGGGATTAAAAGCAGATTAGATATTGCAGAAAGAGAAGTAGGTAGTCTAAATAGGCCTATATCTGTTAAGGAAAATGAATCAATAATTGATAACCTTCTGAAACAGAAAGCACCAGGCCAAGATGGGCTCACTGGTAAATTTTACTAAACATTTAAGAAAGAAATCAGGCCAATTCTCCAAAACTTCTTTCAGAAAATAGAAGAAAAATAAGAGGAAACACTTCAGAAGAAACAGAGGGGATACCTCCTTACTCATTCTATGAAGCCAGTATTACCTGAACACCAAAACCAGACAAAGACATGACAAGAAAAGAAAATTACAGACCAATACCTCTCATGAACAGAGATGCAAAAATCCTCAACAAAATATTTAAAATATTAGCAAATCAAACTAAACAATGTATAAAATGAATTATAAACCATGACCAAATGGGATTTATTTCATGTATGCAAGGCTGGTTCAACATTCAAAAATCAACTAATCCACCATACCAACAGGCAAAAGAAGAAAAATCACACAAAAACATCAATAAAGGTAGAAAAAGCATTTTAAAACTCCAACAATTCATGATAAAAAAAAAAACTCTCAGTATACTAGTATCTCAGCATAATAAAGAATAGCTACAAACTATCAAAAGTTATCATATTTAAAGGTGAGAAACTGGAAGTTTTCCCACTAAGATCAGAAACAAGGCAAGGATGTCCCCCTCACCACGCCTTTCACCATCATACTGGAAGTCTGAGCTAATTCACTAATACAAGAAAAGAAAAGGAATAGTGTCTGAGAAGGAAGTAAAACTGTCTTTGTTCACAGATGTTTCCATGATTGTCTATGCAGAAAATCCAAAAGAATGAACAAAAAACTCCTGAAACTAAGCAACTTAGAGCAAGTTTGCAGGACACAAAGTTAATATATACAATTCTGTTGCTTTCCTATATACTAGCATTAAACAGTGGACTTTGAAATTAAAAATACAATAACATTTACATTAGCAAAAATGTAATGTAATATGAAATAGGTACAAATCTAACAAAATATGCATAAAATCACCATGAGGAAAATTATAAAGTTCTGTTGAAAGAAATCAAAGAAGAACTAAATGAATGGAGAGACACTCCATGTTGGTGGATATGAAGACTCAACATTGTCGAGATGTCAGTTCTTCCCAACTTTATCTACAGATTCAATGCAATCCAAATGAAATCAACAAACTTACTCTGAAGTTTACATGGAGAGGCAAAAGACCGAGAACAGCCGCATAATACTGTAAAATAACACAGTTGGAGGACTGACCTACCTGAGTTCAAAGCTACTCCAAAGCTCCACCAATCGAGACTGAGTGATGTTGGCAGAAGAAAAGACAACCAGATCACTAGGAGAGAGCAGAGAGCCAGAAAGAGTCAACCGACCTTTAACAAAGGAACAAAGGCAATACAGTAGAGAACACTATACACTTCTAGAAGGTAACATAGGAGAAAATCTAGACGACTTGCGTTTGGCAACGACTTTTTAGATAAGACACCAAAGACATGAGTCATGAAAGTAAGAATTAATAAGCTGTACTTCGTTAGCATTAAAAATTTCTGCTCTGTGAAAGACACTATCAAGAGAATAAAAAGACAAACCACAGACTGGGAGAAAATATTTGCAAAAGACATATATAATAAAGGACAGTTATGCAAAATATACAAAGACCTCTTAAGACACAACAAGAAAATAAACAACCCAATTTAAAAATGGGCCAAAGACCTTAACAGACACCCCACTAAAGAAGACATACAGATAGCAACTAAACATATGAAAAGTATATGTCATCAGGGAAAGTTAAATTAAAACAGCAGTAAGATACTACTATACACTTGTTAGAATGGCTAAAATTCAGAACACTGACAACACCAAATGCTGGCGAGGATGTGGAGCAACAGGAAGGCTCATCCTTTGCTGGAGGGAACGCAGAGTGGTGTGGCCACCTTATTAGAGTTTCTTACAAAGTGAAGCATACTCTCATCATACAACTCAGCAATCCTGCTCCTTGGCATTTACCAAAGGAGTTGAAAATTTATGTCCACACAAAAATTTGCACAGAAATTTATGTTTATAGCAGCTTTATTCATAATTGCCAAAACTTGAAAGCAACTAAGATGTCCTTTAGTAGATGAATGAATAAATAAACTCTGGTCCATCCAGACAGTAGAATATGATTCAGCGCTAAAAAGAAATGAGCTATCAAGTCATGGAAAGACATGGAGCAACCTTAAATACATATGACTAGAGAAAGAAGCCAATCTGTATGATTCCAACATACAACATTCTGGAAAAGGCAGAACTCTGGAGACAGTAAAAGATCAGTGGTTGCCAGAAGATGGGGGTAGGGAGGTATGAACAAGCAGAGCACAGAGGAATTTCAGGCGGTGAAAACACCCTGCATGGTACTAGAGTGGTGGGTACATATTATTATACACTTGTCCAAACCCATAAAACGTACAAAACAGAGGGGGAACTCCAAGGCAAACTATGGACTTTGTGTGAAAACAATGTCAATGTAGGTTCATCGACTGTAACAGATGTACCATCTGGAGGATGCTGAGCACGGGGGAAAGTACGCATGTGTGGGTGCATATCACAGGTATATAGGAACTCTCTGTACTTTCCCCTCAATTTTGCTGTAAACCTAAAACTGTTCTTAAAAAATAATGGCCTCAAAATACAAAAAGCAAGTAAAAAGTAGAATCCAAAAAGAAATGTGTAGCCAAAATTCCAGAGTAAGAAATATTACCAGGTATAAAGCATGTCACTTCATAATGTTAATGGAGTCACTTCACCGAGAAGACATAAAGATACTGAACATTTACATGCTTAATAACAGAGCTTCAAAATACATGGAGCAAAACTGATAGAAGAGAAATAGACAAATTCGCATTTAGAGTCACAGATTTCAATATGCCTCCAATAGCTGATAGAGCAGGTGGTCACAAATAGAAGACTTGAAGAACGCGATCAACCAACTCCATCTAACTGACATTACAAAAACAAAAGACACACAAATATTCATAGCAACTTTCTTTATAATAGTCAAAAGTGAAAATAACCTAAACGTCCACCAACAGGAGAATGGATAAACAAATTACAGCATATCCATACAATGGAATACTCCTCAATAATAAAAACAGAACAAACTGTTGATACATGCAACAATGTAGATAAATCTCAACATAATTATTCTAAGTGAAAGAAACCAGACAAAACGAGTAAAAGCTGCCTCGTTCCACTTACATAAAACTCTAGAAAGTGCACACACACCAATACAAAGTTTATGTTTAGAATATACATAAAGAACCCCTTCAAATCAATAGGAAGAAGATAGATAATTCAGTAGAAAAATGGCAAGAGACTGAACACATATATCACAGAAGAGAATGTCCAAACGGCCAATAAACGTGCACAAAGGAGTTAAACCTCATTAATCATCAGGGAATTGCAAATCATAATCAAGTACCACTACAGCCACCAGAAGGGATATTAAAAGGACCAAGTGTAGGTGAGGATGTGGACCCACCATGTGAGGAAGGACAGGTTGGTACAACAACCACTTTGGACATCGTAGCTTTAACGTTTAGACTAAACATATGCATATTCCTTAAGACCCAGCAATTGTATGTACATGTGCGACAAAAGACATATAAAAGAATGTAGCAATCAAAACATGGAAACCAACCAAACCTCCAATAATAGTAGAATGGATAAAGTGTGGTCTAGCCATAGGACGCACTACTGCACAGCAATGAAAACAAGCAATGTGGATAAATCTCATAAGCATAATGGCAAACCAAAGAGACCAGCAAAAAAGAATGTGTAATGTGTGACACCATTTATACAAAGTTCAAACACGAGCAAAGCTACGTGCTGGAAGTGGGGCCAGAGCCACCCCTGGGGATAAGACAAGGGAGCACCAGCTGAGGCAGAGCCTGGGCGGTGGCCGCCTGGCTGTGTTCACTTTGGTATTATCACTACAATGTGCACTTAACACCTGGGACACATTTTTCTAAGTATTCTATGCTCGACAGAAAAACAAGAGAGATCAAGCCAGAGATCGGAACGTAGGGTCAACTCATCAATGCAACTTGTGTTGAAGAAACACATAAAAACCTCTCTTAACTAAGTAGGAAAGAAATCAAAATACAGATTTCCCTTCAGCAACGATGAACAGCTTCCACTATTAGTCAAGTGTTTGCCAGCGTAATTGAAAGTTAAAGAAAATTTCAAAGCAAATACAGTTTTGGTTTGTATGTACTGTCATCACTATTCTCAAACTCCTGAAGCCCAAAATGAAGGTTAAAACTATCCCAATACCAAAAATGTTGATCGACTTTTTGCTTTTTTATTTTTTACAATAAAACCTGTTTTTAAGAGTATTAAGATAATTATATTAGTCATGAAATAACCTTTAGAAAGAAAACTGATGTCTTTAAAACCCTATCAGTTTGATGTTAAAGATTCTGCAATAAACACAATCAACTCCCTTAAATGTTGTATTAAAAATCTACAATTAAAATTAAAAGTTCAACTTGTCTTGATTGTGTTAAGAAGAACCTCTTCTTGTTTATATTCTTACTCAAGAAGAAATTTTAAATGATTTTAAATTATTTAAATTTATTTTTAAATAAAGTGATTCCAGTTTATTTCCTAAGTCAAAACTTAATATGCTTTGTTTTGTTAGCATTTTTTTCCCCATAGCTGGTAACTGAATCCACAAAGGGCAAACTCACCCAAACAGCATCAGAGAAACAGAGCTTGACGGCAAATTTCTGTGACTTAACAAAAAAACAGGTATAACTTTTTAAATACCTGGTGAGGAGGTTCCTTGGTGTCCCATACACAAAGTTCGTTTCCATCTAAGGGGAAAGCACAGGACTGCCCACTGCAGGCGAGCTGAACGTGGGATGTGGACTTCTTGGAATCCACCAGGTATTTTTCCACGACTATATCACCTGCGTGGCCATCATTCATGGAGAAAATCTCTTGTGGTTCTTCCATCTTCAACCTGAAACACAAAGTACATATAAGAGGACTATGGGTGTGGTATTTCATGCAGAGGACAGTCTGTTGTTTACTCATAATTACCGGTATGATCACACACACGTCACACCTGGTGACTCGTCTTCCCTCCCCACCCCCAAGAAAAAGAAAATCACTGACACCCCGGAAGTTCCCTGTCATGACTGCTCACTGCTGCCACGGGCTTTCAAGTTAAGCAGACCTCGGTTCCAGAGCCACGGCTCCCACTGAGCAGACCTTGCTTCGACGTGGAGCGCCTGCTCCCCCACTGGGAATGGAGGGAACGCCGGCCACCCTCACAGAGGCCTCGCGAGGACCAAACGATGCTCCAGCACCGGCACCAAGAAGTGCTTTCAGAGAGCCACGACCAAAATCGAAGACTGTTACCAACAATTAAGATGCAAAGTTATGTTCTACACTGATGAACAAAGTCAGTGGCGACTACAAAACAAATCCACACCCGGTGTGCATCTGGGACTCGTACAACTAACTAGTTCACAACATTCTAGGTCGTTAAAGTTGGTTATCTCGGCTTATACAACCACTGGTTCACTGGCTGTCTTATAAAGCATCAATCAGTGACACACAGACAGAAGTGAAAACAGTCTCAGACCTGTCCCACTTCACAATCAGTAACTCCGTAACGGCTACCAGGTTATACACACACGGCAGTAGCCCTGGGTCACCCCTGATCCCGCACCACCTCACGGGCACCAGACACACCTGAAGCCTCAGCTACAAAGTTGTGAGCAAAGCGCCTCGCCGTCCGGTCACCAAGCTGCTTGTTTAGATTCAAAGAACCCAGCCATGTGGTCACCATTCTGGCTGTGTGGACTCGGCCTGGACAGGCCTCATGGGGGAGTAGTAGTTAACACAGAAGAAGACTCTGGACAGTTACCAGCAGAGATGGGGTGGGGCTAAGAAGTGGGGGCAGCTGATGCTCCCGAGGGGAGATCCTGGGATGGTCGCTGCCCGACAGACTGCAGAGCAGGGCTCATCCTTATGCTCAGGTGACCCTGGGGAGCTAAGAACTGAGACAATCAGGGCTGCCCGTCCGGAAACACACACGTCAATCTGGCCACAGCACCGGGGTTCAGAGTCGAGAGGGGCTGGGTGGGGACAACGGGGCTAAAGCCAAGCCCAGGCCTGGGGTCTGGCCCAGAGAGCCTGGTCAGTAGCTCTGCAAGGACAACGGAAGGTCAGCCAACACCTCAGTTTCCACCCCCTCCTTCCCTTGTAGACCTTTCCTGTCCCCACATTTCTCTTAACTGCACAACCGTTTTCCTAGTTTCCAAGTTTCCGGGCACAAAGCTCGAGTGAATATTAATTCCTTCCTTTTTTTGCCCTCATATCCAATCCATGCCCAGCCCTTTCTTTCTTCGTGGGGAATTTCAGATTTGTCCCTCAAACACCCAGCGAGTGAAGGGTCATGCCAATCCTAAAAGTATAATCTGCTGTGGACACCTGGTGGATTACCTGCTAAAATTGCAGTGATTCTCTCTTTCGGGGGCCAGAATCCCATTAGCACAGAGGCAAAGAACGCGGAAGCCGAGGGCAAGTGGGATGCTGCCGTGGGGTGTGGAGCAGAGGACGCGCTGTGTAGAGAAGAGAAGGACTGGGTCTGGGCCACTGGGTCCCAGCATTTGGTGCTACTCCTTCTGTCTTGGATTCGGTGGGGTTTCCCTTCATCTAGGCTATTCTGTTATTTCCAGCCAGAGAGCCCTAAATAATGGACTATCTGATTTCATTCCAACTGTGAAAAGAAACAGCACACAATCTGAGACAGCGGGAGCGCAGGACCTCAGCGGTGGGAAGCTCACCGCCAGAGGGGACCGGCCGAGGGGCCTCAGGCTGGGGCTCCCACGCAGCATGCACCCGCACGACGAGGAATGTACAGATCTAGACTCCCCAGGCCACTTCACGGAGGGTGACCCGCCCAGCATACACCTCCTGGGTCAATGGGTGGGGCTGTAATCACCTCCCAGCCTGCAGGTGCAGGGGTCGCGATTTAACAAGACAAAGGAGACAAACAAAAACATGCTACCTAAGAAACTCTGTTGGAAATAACCCCAAAGAAGGCAGGAAGCACTTCCAATAGGAGGTGGATAGAAGGCCTTATTTTAGCACCTGTAGGCCAGACAGCAGACCCACTCAGGCCTTGTGCGCTCCCCGATCTCCCCAGGACACACATTCTCTGTAGTAATAAATCAGAGACTTTGAAAGACTTGAGAAGCCTGTGATGTTTGGAGAAAAACAAAAATAAAATGTGTTGAATATTTTAAAGCACATTCTTCTCTAATTTACAAATTGGTTTTACTTACTTATTTTACACTTTCCAAGATACAGCAGAGAGCTTCATATAAAAAATAGCTAAATGTTTCAAAGCTACCATGATTTGCTTTGCAAGTTTTATAACTTTAAAGTACCCAGTGCCTAGCACTGCTGGCACGTGGAAATGATGGGTGTACGTGTCCCCAGTGGATGAAAGGAAGTTACTGTGCCTCCTTCCGCTGTGTTTTGAAAGCATAAACATTTCAAGAAACACATGAAATTATAATCAAAAGTCACAATTGTTTCAAAATTTTTAAGAATCCACCCATCAAACTGTGATAAACTGTATTGTATTTGTCTTATTTCAACTGTCTTAATCTCTTCTGTAATTCCTATAGAGTTTAGCACCATGATTTGTAAATAGTACTTTCATAGATTAACATGTAGATTTGTTTATCAATAATATATTATACCACTTAATTCTTACAATAACCCTTTAAAATGGTTATATTTTTTCCCATTTTCCAGAGAACAAAATCAGAAGGATTAGAAAGTGTTAAGACTAGTCAGTGGAATCGCCACACCTACACCTTCTGACTCGTGGTGGGTGGCACCTCCACCAGGTGCTTTTATGTAACCTCACAGCCCATCTGGTCCCAGAAAGCATTGCCTCAGCAGAGAAGGAAACACACTGAGGGGAGGAGCGTGGGTTTGGTCTGCCACTCAGGGCCACCTCAGTGGCTTGGCATCTATGCCCACGGCGGCAGGTGACCATGCTTGGAGCTGCCACCTCCAAACCTACTCACCCTATTTATTCTGACTTGAGCCCCAAGAGGATTTGCCAACCCTCGGGACCAAATGCACGGTTTGGGCTGGTCTCTCCCAGGACATAGATGTGATTTTCCTTTGCACTGAGTTGCAGCCCATCCCAACTAATTCTAACCAACAGGCTGAGCAGAGCCCAGGACAGAACTCTGGACAGACAGCTGAGCTGGGATACAGTATGAAGGAATATCACCCTGAGTGTAAGAAACAGACCATTTTAATTTTCAGTGACTAGACAAACACTTGGGAAATAAAAGCAAAAGCAACTGAATTTCAGATGGATTTTGCAGGTTACCAAACACCATTAAAAAATAAAACACAATGAAGGGTTCAAGACGGTGGAGTAGAAGGACATGCGCTCACTCCCTCTTGCGAGAGCACCAAATCACAACTAACTGCTGAACAATCAACAACAGGAAGACACTGGAACTCACCAAAAAAGATACCCCACATCCAAAGACAAAGGAGAAGCCACAATGAGACGGTAGCAGGGGCGCAATCACAATAAAATCAAATCCCATAACTGCTGGGTGGGTGACTCACAAACCGGAGAACACTTACACCACAGAAGTCCACCCACTGGAGTGAAGGTCCTGAGTCCCATGTCAGGCTCCCCAACCTGAGGGTCCGGCAACAGGAGGAATTCCTAGAAAATCAGACTCTGAAGCCTAGTGGGATTTGATTGCAGGACTTCGACAGGACTGGGGGAAACAGAGACCCCACTCTTGGAGGGCACACACAGAGTAGTGTGCGCACCGGGACCCGGGGAAGGAGCAGACCCCACAGGAGACTGAACCAGACCTACCTGCTAGTGTTGGAGGGTCTCCTGCAGAGGCAGGGGGTGGCTGTGTCTCACCGTGAGGACAAGGACACTGGCAGCAGAAATTCTGGGAAGTACTCCTTGGCGTGAGCCCTCCCAGAGTCCACCCATTAGCCCCACCACAGAGCCCAGGTAGGCTGCAGTGTTGGGTTGCCACAGGCCAAACAACCAACAGGGAGGGAACACAGCCCCACCCATCAGCAGACAAGCGGATTAAAGTTTTACTGAGCTCTGCCCACCAGAGCAACAGCCAGCTTTACCCACCACCAGTCCCTCCCATCAGGAAATCTGCACAAGCCTCTCAGATAGCCTCATCCACCAGAGGGCAGACAGCAGACACAAGAAGAACTACAATCCTGCAGCCTGTGGAACAGAAACCACATTCACAGAAAGATAGAAAAGATGAAAAGGCAGAGGGCTATGTACCAGATGAAGGAACAAGATAAAACCACAGAAAAACAACTAAATGAACTGGAGATAGGCAACCTTCCAGGAAAATAATTCAGAATAATGATACTGAAGATGATCCAGGACCTTGGAAAAAGGATGGAGGCAAATATCAAGAAGACACAAGAAATGTTTAACAAAGACCTAGAAGAATTAAAGAACAAACAAGCAGAGATGAACAATACAATAACTGAAATGAAAACTACACTAGAAGGAAACAATAGCAGAATAACTGAGGCAGAAGAATGGATAAGTGACCTGGAAGACAGAATGGTGGAATTATCTGCTGTGGGACAGAATAAAGAAAAAAGGATGAAAAGAAATGTAGACAGCCTAAGAGACCTCTGAGACAACATTAAATGCAACAACAGTTGCATTATAGGGGTCCCAGAAGGAGAAGAGAGAGAAAAAGGGCCCGAGAAAATATTTGAAGAGATTACAGCCAAAAACTTCCCTAACAGGGGAAAGGAAATAGCCACCCAAGTCCAGGAAGCACAGAGAGTCCCAGGCAGGATAAATCCAAGGAGAAACACGACAAGACACATAGTAATCAAACTGACAAAAAGACAAAGAAAAATTATTGAAAGGAACAAGGGAAAAATGACAAATAATGTAC